ATATATATATATATATATATATATATATATATATATATATATATATATATATATATATATATATATATATATATATATATACTTTAAAAAATAGTTTTTAAGTCCGTGAATCATGTGAGCTGAACCTAATGAAATGAACCTAACGAGTTGAACCGAACTGTTCGTGAACTTATAACGAGTCGAGTTTGAGCTTAAAAAAAAGTTCGTGTCGAACTCGAACCAATTCTTAACGAGTCGAGCCGAGCTGAGGTGAGTTCGACTCGACTCATTTCCAGCCCTAAGTCTTGCAATTACTTGCAGTTGCAAAATTAATAAGATTTCCACAGTTTATGGGCAGAGAGGGACTCTGCAGAAATCTTCTTCTTTCCTAATTTCTGTCAAACCCTAATCTTCTTTCTTATTCAATTTTATTTCTTCTTCTTCCATTAACAATTTTTGCGCAGAGTCATTCTTGCAATCAAGGTATGATTGAATCTCTCGAGTGAAGAGTGAAGAACAAGATAGGATTTTGATCAGTTGATAAAATCTTGTTCATCAAGATTGATTTGGAATTCTCAAAATTTTGAGTTAATTCCGACATGATTGTCATTGGTTGACAGTACAAAAAAAGATTTTATATTGTCAACGCACCATTCCTTTTCTCATTAAAATAACTATCATTTTAATCAATACATTTTATTTTAAAATGATTGTTATTCTCATTTTTTATTATAGAAATGATTGTTATATTTTTAATTATGTATTTTAACAATTACTCTTTACACTACTTCCAATATATAAATAAGACTAATTTAATAAAAGTGTAATATCTTATAATAATATTAATACATTTATTAATTTGTGTACAAACACATCAATCGGCAATCATTTTAAAACAAAAATAATACTACCTTGAACTTTCTATTTTTGGTAATATCAAAAATATTCTTTTTCATTCTTTTCATTAGTTACATATTGAAAAACAAAAATTCAACATTTAAAAAAAATTGATTATATGTATTTTTATTGATATTTTTAATAATTTTAATATAAATAATAAATTAAAAAAAAATTATTATTTTATACTAAACTTTTTAAATATCAAATACAAAATACTATATTTTGAAAAAAAAATGTATTTAATATTTGAAATAATCAATATAACCAATATTTTTTAATTATTATTTAAAAAAAAGGACAAAGTTAATTCTACCGAAATCTTTCTTAAATTTGATATGTTTTGAAGTTTTTTAAATGTTTAAAAAATTGATATAAAATCATAATTTAAAAAAAATTGATTTTATATCGGCTATTTGAAAAAAAAAAATTTATATCAATTTTTTCAAACATTTGATATTCATAGATTTTGAAAATGGATTATGCTTTTAAATTATTTTTTTCAAAAGTTCAGTATAAAAATATAAATTTTATATCGATTTTTTTTTAAATATTCAATAATAAGTCTAATAATATTTTATTTTTAAAAAATATATTTATTTAAAATGTCAAATATACTAATATATATATATATATATATATATATATATATATATATATATATATATATATATATATATATATATATATATATATATATATATATATATACTTTAAAAAATAGTTTTTAAGTCCGTGAATCATGTGAGCTGAACCTAATGAAATGAACCTAACGAGTTGAACCGAACTGTTCGTGAACTTATAACGAGTCGAGTTTGAGCTTAAAAAAAAGTTCGTGTCGAACTCGAACCAATTCTTAACGAGTCGAGCCGAGCTGAGGTGAGTTCGACTCGACTCATTTCCAGCCCTAAGTCTTGCAATTACTTGCAGTTGCAAAATTAATAAGATTTCCACAGTTTATGGGCAGAGAGGGACTCTGCAGAAATCTTCTTCTTTCCTAATTTCTGTCAAACCCTAATCTTCTTTCTTATTCAATTTTATTTCTTCTTCTTCCATTAACAATTTTTGCGCAGAGTCATTCTTGCAATCAAGGTATGATTGAATCTCTCGAGTGAAGAGTGAAGAACAAGATAGGATTTTGATCAGTTGATAAAATCTTGTTCATCAAGATTGATTTGGAATTCTCAAAATTTTGAGTTAATTCCGACATGATTGTCATTGGTTGACAGTACAAAAAAAGATTTTATATTGTCAACGCACCATTCCTTTTCTCATTAAAATAACTATCATTTTAATCAATACATTTTATTTTAAAATGATTGTTATTCTCATTTTTTATTATAGAAATGATTGTTATATTTTTAATTATGTATTTTAACAATTACTCTTTACACTACTTCCAATATATAAATAAGACTAATTTAATAAAAGTGTAATATCTTATAATAATATTAATACATTTATTAATTTGTGTACAAACACATCAATCGGCAATCATTTTAAAACAAAAATAATACTACCTTGAACTTTCTATTTTTGGTAATATCAAAAATATTCTTTTTCATTCTTTTCATTAGTTACATATTGAAAAACAAAAATTCAACATTTAAAAAAAATTGATTATATGTATTTTTATTGATATTTTTAATAATTTTAATATAAATAATAAATTAAAAAAAAATTATTATTTTATACTAAACTTTTTAAATATCAAATACAAAATACTATATTTTGAAAAAAAAATGTATTTAATATTTGAAATAATCAATATAACCAATATTTTTTAGTTATTATTTAAAAAAAAGGACAAAGTTAATTCTACCGAAATCTTTCTTAAATTTGATATGTTTTGAAGTTTTTTAAATGTTTAAAAAATTGATATAAAATCATAATTTAAAAAAAATTGATTTTATATCGGCTATTTGAAAAAAAAAAATTTATATCAATTTTTTCAAACATTTGATATTCATAGATTTTGAAAATGGATTATGCTTTTAAATTATTTTTTTCAAAAGTTCAGTATAAAAATATAAATTTTATATCGATTTTTTTTTAAATATTCAATAATAAGTCTAATATTAATTATCAAAAAATTGATTGAAGAGTATTATGATAAAAGTGTCAATAATAGAGTGCCATGAACAATGAAGTGGATACAAGATTAAAAAAATTGTAGTACTACTAGATTTTGAGAGTTGTTATCTCATGTCATTCATCCAATATATTGAAGTAACTTAAAATTTTCAAAATATCATTATGAAGGCTTCGTAGAAACTTTACATTTGACTGAAGTTGGTTGGCCATACAAAACTTAAAAAAGTGACATTTTTTATGTTTTAATGAAGAGCTCAATTATACCAAAGTTCTCTCAAGTGTAAGTATTTGTACCGCCAATAAGGATAGTTACATGAAAACAATGAGTTTATTAGAAGTCAAACGCCTTATCCATTAGGCCACAGGTGCAAATTGTTGATAAAAATATTTATTTTTATTATTTATTTAATATACACATACATGCTTGCCATACACACATATATATATATATATATATATATATATATATATATATATATATATATATATATATATATATATATATATATATATATATATATATATATATATATATATATATATGTGTGTGTGTGTGTGTGTTGATTTTTATATTCTATTAGACAACACAGTGTAGTCACACTTTTTCAAGAAGTTAAGTTCTATGATAAATATAAATAGCTTAGACATAATGAATTAGGTAGTGTGTTGAGAATGTAATTTCTTATGTCGAAGCAGGTAGTGCTCGACAGAAACAAAGATGTGTCTAAACTTGTGGTGTGTAGAGTTGTATAAGATGTCAAAGTGTTGAAGCAGGTTGCTTGACACATGATTTTGACTTAGATCAAAATTGGTATTTTGGCCTTTTGTATTTTTGAGCTTTAGCTTAGGGAGCAAGCTAGCTCAATTATAAATAGAAAGAGTAACCCCCTATTTTGAGTTAGAAGAAGAATAGTCTTGTTAGGGCTGACAATGAACAAAACCAACTCGAAAATAGTTTGGAATTCGATTCGACAATTAAATCATTGAACTAGGTTCATGAACCAAATGAGTTGAGTATGAGCGAAAAATTAAGTTCGTTAACTAAATGAGCTGAACTTGAACTATACATAGTTCGACTCGTTAGGTTCATGAGTCAACTCGATTACATATGAGAAGAATTATAGTGTCTTTAAGATTAGGTTTAAATATTTACTCCAAATCTTAGACAAATTTAATCTTCAATTTAGTAGTTTTTGAATTAGACTCTCAAATATATCTCTTGAAAGTTGTGTAGGTTTTGAATTAGTAGATTTCGAAGATAAAGTTAAATTTCAATATGATAACTTTTATTTTATTTTATTATTTTATTTTAAAAATATATATTTATTTAAAATGTCAAATATACTAAAAAATATATATATTTTAAAAAATAGTTTTTAAGTCCATGAATCATGTGAGCTGAGCCTAATGAGATGAACCTAACGAGTTGAACCGAACTGTTCGTGAACATATAACGAGTCGAGTTTGAGCTTAAAAAAAATTCATGTCAAGTTCAAACTCGAACCAATTCTTGACGAGTCGAGCCGAGCTGAAGTGAGTTCGACTCGACTCGACTTATTTCCAACCCTACTTAGTAGGAATGTGAGTCTACCTATTATGTGTGTCATGACATGGATCTTGTGGACAGTCCAAAATAAATGTTTACCAAGTTGTAATTGGATGAACACCTTTAATACAAAAGATATCTTAAAGTGAGAGCTAAATGGAATGTAGGCAATGGCAAAAGATCAAAATTTCGCAGGCCAAATGGATTCCAAACCAATAAGAAATATACATGGTATACTCACATAGCTCTTCTCTTTAAAAAGAAATTTGAAGAGCTCCAATGCCAAATAGAGTTAAAAATTTCATGTGGAGATTAGCAAAGAACATCCTTCCCACTTGAGATAACTTGTTAGAGAAAGGAATTCAATTGGACAATTTAAGAATCCAAAGCTAGAGGAATTAGTTTATGTAACTTATAATACTACATTATATGGCTCACCTACAAACTTGACCAAATAAAACATGAAACGAAACGTAGTATAAATTTACATATCTTGAATGTTTTCACTAACACATGAATCAACCAAATTAAAATCAGCTACTTTAGAACCACTAATCTTAAAAGAACCAGATTGAATCCTATATGGTAATTTACCATTACTAACAGAAACAACCTCTTTTTCTTCGTCTCTCTTCAAATCACTAGGAGCTAGAAAACAATCCAAACACAACCCTTTAACATTAAAGTCCACTTCTTCAATTTTCCAAACCTCTTTTATTCTTGTCCTTGAATGACTCTCAGGTCCTTCACCAAATCTTGACAAAGTAACCCAAGTTTTCCCACAATGTGCTATCTGAATACCATCCACTATTCTATAATCTTGTATGGTAGATTCTGTGTTTGTTTCCCAAAATATGGATTCGGTTTCGGAGGATTTGAGTTTGATCAAATGTGTGTCTTCTAGTTGAACTAAAAGTCCTGTTCTTTGGCTGAAATAGCCTAAGACTGTGTGGCCTATTATCTCTATGTTGTTACTGCTTCTTGTTTGTAATGAAGTTGAGTCTGTTTCGAGTTTTAGAATGAAGCATTCTTGTTTGTTTGCTGTTTTCTCTCCTATGCATGTTGAGTTGTTGAATAGATTGGCTATGGAGTTTGGATCAAGACCCTGTGAAATGACATTCATTAAATATGCACAATGAATAAGACAATATGTTATTTGTAAGGTTTTAAAAAGAGTCTTCAATCTATCAACACTAAAAATAATAAATTAAAACAAACATGAAAAAATTCAAATAAATATTTTTAATATTTTAAATAGTAAAGTACAAATTAAATATCAAAGTATTAACCAAATAATTAATATTCTAAATCATTAATATTCTAAATCATTAAAATTAAATATTCACAATTAAAACGCAGCGGATTTAATGACGAGTTTTGAGTGAATACTAATGTTTCAATTATGGGTCTCGTATTCATATTTTAAAGAGGATTTAAACGAATATCCATTAATAACCACAATTTTTAACGCAAAACTTACAGTAGAGAAATTGCAAAATATCTTAAGCCACTATGAGCATTATTTAAAACCTTAATAATTTGTGTAAATTTGGTTATCAATTAGTATTTTTTTTTAGCACAATAGCATGTTCTCCTTTTAACATGGAATTAAGGCCTAAATTTGGTTATCATCTTAAGGCCTAAATTCAACCAACTCAAACTCAGGAATATTAAGGAGCATTTAATTTGTCATTTCTTATTTATATTTGACATTTTTATTTAAAGTAATTTTATCGATATACTCTTAGATTAATTATGGAAATTTTAAAAATTTTACAAATTTTTATAAAAACTTTCGGTCTGTATCGCAAATTAAAATATTTTTTTTATATAAAATTATCGGAAAATTTTAAATTTGCAAAAGTTTTTTATTTTTTTTCAGAAATTTTGACAATTTTCGATATAGATTTAAGATTTTTTTAGGGTCATACCAAATTTTGAAATTTATAATATTTTTTATTAAAAATTTTCAAATTTTTAATATAAAAATGCGAGAATTTTCAAAAATACGAAAAAGATACATACTAAGAATTTCGATTGTACTATTGAAAATTTTGTTTTTGTATGATAGTAAGAAAGAAAAATTTGTTTTTGTATGTTAGTAAGAATGAAAATTTTAAAAGAAAAATAAAATTTGTAGATAAATAATAGAAGGATATTTTTGGAATTTGAAATTGTGGAGATATGTATAAGTGGGAGATAGCAAGCTAAATTCTCCAAAATACCCATCAAAAGGATTGGAAAGGCAGGAATAAAAGTAAAACAAAGCTTTTTGAAAAATAAAAGTGGGAACAAGTTGTCCTGCACTAAGGAATGAGAATGACAAGTATTGTTGACATTTGGGGATCACAACTAATTAATTGGATAAATTCAAATTTCAAACTTAGGATTTTCTTACATTACCTATTAAATTGTTGACTATAGTTATTAAATGTAAACCTTAACATTTTGAATATAAAGTGACCTTTTTCAAATGGGAAGGGAGGAAGCATCCGGTTTTAGGTGGGACGCATGGATTTAGTTAGACAGTGTTTGGTTAGGTAAGATAGCAACATCAAAACTTAACTTAGATTTTTCTGTTATAGAAAGCTAGACTTTTTATGTCAAACAGTGAAGATGAAAAAAAGTTGAATGGGAACACAACTTACACATTTGAATACATTCAAATCATATTCACACTAAAACCGGTTAAATGAAATCAAATTTAAAAATCAAACACTCATATGGATCAAACATTAGTTATACGTATCAGACACAACATCAAATGTTGTCGAACACATAACACTGATATGCGTTATTCAATACTTATCCGTGTGTCAAACAAAGAAGACATGATATTGTTGTATGTTGTGGAGTTTAATGCTATTAATGTCTAAATAGTAACCATACATTAATTGATGCAATAATTAAACAAACAAATGAACTTTAATGAATTTTAAATTAAATTTACCTGAAGTAAACGTCTAAGGGGTCTAGGTGGGCCTCTAGAAGCATGAGAATGATGCCATGGCGTTTGCCTCCAACCCACTTTTCCATCACTCCCTGCACTAATTTTGTACCCAGAAACAACCAATTCCAAACACCACAATTCTGGTCTCTTTTGCCACAAAACAAACCCTCCCATTTCTTCTTTCACCTCCACTTTCTTCGACTTCTTCACCATCTTCTTGCTATTCACACCCCCTTCTCCTCCTACAAACTCTGATGTCCCTATTCTCACCTCCCCCATTGCATACATACTCTCAACTTTACTCAAAACACTCTCTCCTCCCACCGCCGCCACATATTGTTTCACTATATATTTCGCCATCGACACCTCCTTCACAAACACAAAAATAAATTGTCTGATATTTCTGTATAATCATTATTATATATGTTAAAAAGTTTAGAGATCAATCAAAAATAAAGTTTCTTTAATACTTACAATGTTATGGCCTTTAATGTTGTGAGTGATGATGGGTTTGTAGTCATTGGTGATAGGAAAAGGAATCAATGGAGCTCCAACAACACCAAGCAATAACTGAATATTTGTGTTTGGATCTTCAAATCGTGATGATCTTGATTCATTGTTTGGTTTTATCCATTGCTTCATGTTTTTCCATGTGTTTCCACTCTTGTTGGTGAAAATCTCTTCTGGGATAGGAACTTCCAGCACGGTTTCCAGCCCATATTCATGATCAAGGTTGGGACAAAGCTTCTTCATAGCATAGATGAAATTGAATGAGATGAATAAGAATTTAAGAAAGTAATAATGACAACATGTATGAATTGCATGTAACAACACACTCAAGTTCGTGTCGAAATAGACTGTCTGATCTTGATTCAACGAAGTGGTTTATAATATTGTGCGAATTGAAGTTTTGAAATGAAAGGGAGATAGTATGAGATACTTAATGAGAATGTAACTTTGGAAAAAGATCACCAACCAAACTATATGGGGACCCTTTGTCTATTTCGTCGTGATTGCACGAATCTTACGTATTGGCTAATTAAATTACGGTTTATTTAAAATTTATACTTGTTGTTCTTGTCGCATAAATATAAGGATTATTATTAAACGCATTTTTATAAAGGGAAAATGTTAATTACTGTAGATCGTTGATATTTAATGCAAAATAAAGGTTGGGTTAAAAGTCCCCATGTTCATATCTTGTTAAATTAATATCATTTATTTATAAGTTTAATTTATTAATACTAATAAAATAGTCCACAAACTAACAAAAAGATGTATTAGGTAAAATATATCCCTTCAAAGAAAGTTAGGTAAAATACATATTTACTTGGTGTATCCGCTAGTTACACAATTAAGATACTTTAATTAGACGTATAAACATGCATACACTCATAAGCAAACTTGATTAAGACATAAACAACTTGAAACTAAAAGTGAAAGAAAAGAGAAATTCATTGCTTATGTTACAATTTACTAAAAAAGAGTGTTGTATTATAACATACTTTCACTAACTTTATCTTTTACACAATAATCATTACCTAGTTAAGGAATATAGTACTAAAAAATCTTACTCTAACATAGTACCTTAAACAATGTCGGTAATATACATGCTATTGATGCGAAGAACATAAAGATAGTAGGGGTCCCAAGAACGTAAGACATGCAAGAAAATGTACGACCAACATTCTAATTCAAATTGTAATTGAGAATGGTAACCCATGGCCCTGCCCATTGGTGGTTGTTGTTTTGCATTAAGCTAGGATGCCATGAATCTATTCTTGTCGCAAATAAGCAAAGCCATGTGAGGTGTACTTTGATCTTGTTTTGATTTTTTTGTTGGTTTAAGCTGACTAGGATAGTGTAAAGCGACAAGTTATTACGTTGTCTTTTATGAATTTCGAATCATTTCATGCACGTTCTTGTTCTTGTGTAATATGCTGGTGGTTTTGTTACAGCTGAAATTAATATGTTTCTATTGCAAGGAAAATGTTACGTAGAAAAAAAATTCTTAGGGGGATTTTTTTTACCTTGTAATTGTTGCGAGAAACATTCATAGACAGGTTATTGAATTATTGAGTGAAAGAAAATAATGAAGACAATTTAATGGATAATCTGTGTCATCACTGTTATCTATACACTTGCGCAAGAGTCCAATAAACAAACATATACACATTAAAAAAAATTAAATGTGTTAAAAAAATTGGAAACTAAATTAAATGTGTTAAAAAAAATCTAAAATATTCTATTTTTAGGTTTTTTTTAGGATGCTCTCCCCTAACCAAATGGCGGTGGGGCTTACTGATTTAATTCTAGATTTTTTTTATCCGGGTTTTTAATGTGCAACAAATTTAATTTCGTATCACCTTTTATTTATAAACCCACATCATCTCTTATAACTTTTAGATATAAATTCGAAAAGAAAAAAAAAAAATCAAATCAATAATGTACTCTTGCTATTTGGTTTGACTATAAAAATAAGGCATTGAAGGTTTATTTTTTAAATAGGTTTTTTTTTTTTTTAAATTTGAAAAAGAGGTTACTTAAAAGGAACATTTTGTATGTATGTTTTTTTAAATACTTTAATATATTAACGTTCATAAATTTAATTTTCCAAGATAAATTACACTAAAAAAAGACACTAGTTTATTATTAATTGCAAAATCTCTTATGAAACATAAAAAATTTCCCACAAGATCTATTTTATTCAAGGATTTATAAAGAGTTAAGAGACTTTAGAAAACTGATCATCGTAAATAATCTGTCATATGTTAAACTTATGACAGCTTTGAACATACACAAAATATCTTAAGAATACATAGTTTTTCATTTCATTTGAGTTTGTTCTTTGAAGGTGTGAGAAAAAAAACAAGAAAGAGGGGGTTTGAATTGAGTTTTTAAAAATGAATTTTTTTTTATGAAACTCAAACAGAAATCACAAAGAAACAAAACAAGAGAGAAAGACACATGGTATATCCTGGTTCACTTGAAAACTATCAAGCTAATATGTTTCACCCGCCAAGATAATTTTGCCTTATATCCAAGGACTTAATCCAATTTAATTAACTAATTACAATTTGCACTAGCAACTGCTAGTGACTAAGAACCACAAAGACTAACTGTCTAAGTCTTTTTAATGATTCTGACCTAACTGTTCCCTTAAGGAATTACAAATAATAGTTTGTGAAAGATAAAAGTTTACAATGAAATGCTTCTACTCAAGCAAATATAAACACAATGAATATCTTAGAAAGATTTTAAACAAAATTTGCACACAATATGAATTTTTCATTGTGTTCTTGCGTTGTTGTTCTTCACTATTTTCTTTAAGTTATCAAGTCCTTATATAGTCAGTAAAAGATCCGTTGAAGGGAAGATCAGAAATATCCTTAAGTGAGCTAGCGACTTGAAAGAATGTCATTACGTAGGGATGAAAATCATACACAAAAGTTGTTCTTTTCACCAAAAAATCAGGGTAGTGGGATGGTAGTGGAATGAAATGTTTTGATATGTATTGTACTATTTCCCTCGTAAACTTTTGATCTTATCTTCTGTACATCAGAGGCTTCTGGATAGAGATGTTTGAAGCATGAGTATAAGAGTTGATAACTGGGTCTTCAGAGTCTTCAGCACTTTGTCTTCAGAAGCTTAAGTTTTCAGAGTCTTCAGAACTTTGTTCAGCAAAACCTTATCTTCAGAATCTTCAGCACTTAGTCTTTAGAAACTTAAGTCTTTAGAGTCTTCAGAATTTTGTTCAGTAGAACCTTGTCTTCAGAATCTTCAGCACTTAGTTTTCAGAACAGAACAACTTCAGAAGCTAGAAAGCCTTCAGAAGTAAATCATCAGAGTCACGCTCAGAGACAAAATCCAAGAGAACATTGTAGCAGCAACATATTGTCTTTTTAGAATCTTTCTGAATGTGAGTAGGTACATAAGCATACTTGCTTCTTTGGCGCAGAAGTGACTTTTGTCATACCAGAATGACGTTGCATATGGTCTCTATCAGAGTCAGAACCTGTTTTTTAAAACTTCATAATAACAAACTGTTAGAGTACCAAAATTATTTTTACATAAATACTACCTTGTTATTATCAAAATTTAGAGATAACCAACATAACCAAATCTTGTTCTAACACTCTTTTCATGGCCAAAAATATCATCGAGTAGGATTTCTCACCATCGTGAACAACCCCTAAATCAAAAAAAATTCTTAAAACCTTTGTCCACCCCTACTACTATAAGGATGTCACACATTCTATAATTTTTCATAAGTATATTGGGTAATTATGTCACCTCAGTAATTTAAGAGGGCATTTGGGGTTGTTTCTAAACACATCAATTGACGAAAACTATCTCAAACAATCACTTCCCTCTATAATATTATGCTTCTAAAATGTCTATTCACTTAGTGTAATTTTGTTCCGCTAAGGAACCAAAATTTATCAGAGATAAGAGGTTGTAGAATGCAATAGTTGACTTGAGCTTCTGGTACACTGAGAGAGGGGATGACCTACAAGGTTAGCACTCAAAAATCAAGTTAGTATGTGAATAAGATGAGTGAATGAAGTTTGAATTTTAATTGAACCTGGAAAATGGCACGCTTCATTTTTATATAGTGGAGCGATGATAAAAACTTCCTGATCTCTAGGCATAGGATACAGGGATCTGCTGGATGGATTTTGGATTTGGATTTCCTGCACTCTAACCCATGATAATACCCTTACATTGAGAGTGACTTGGTGGATTTTTGTATTCTCTAGGTCGCAGTTGTTGAATCTTTTGTCCAGACCAAAACAGTTGCCCCTCAAGTCAGTTCTCTACTTTGTAGTGTGGGAACTTTGTAACATTTATCTTTTCTCGTCGATCGTAACTTGTCTTAAGTGAAAACCCAAGAGGTGATATTGATGTCATTGGAAACTCACGCTTTAAATGAGCATCATGCTTTATAACCTAAAACAATTTTGTGTTTTCCTAAGGCGGTTCGGGCGTTGCTAGTGCTTATTATCTCTCTTTTTGGTAAATCATTATGTGATCTTTTAGGATTCAATTATATAGTTTCTTGAGACATTACCTTTTCCCTTTTCGTCATTTGTATTTTCACAACTTTTTTTTGTAGCTAAAGGAAATGATGCCTATCATGAGTAAAAAACTCAAAAAAGAATGCTTCTTCTTCTTGATTTGATCTTGCCATTTCAACAACTGCTTATGCGTTTTCCCATGAAGGTAGACTTGATAAGGTCTTCCTCGATGTGGGTCCTTCTTTAGATTTGGGTGAACTGATCCCTAAGAAAGATAAAAGGATTTTCAATTAATACAATGGGTGCGTAATTCTTTTTTATGAGTGTTCTTTTTCAATTATGGGTTTCTAATTGCCTTTCAACAATTTTGAAATAGAGGTTTCAAAGACATGATATTCGTTCCTTTGCAGTTAAATCCTGTGAGTTGGACTTACACCAAATTCATCTAGTACCAGTGTGACTATTTAGAAGGAAAGCCTTTTTTATGCCTTTTCTTCTATCTTTTTAGAGTACAACGTATCTTAGAGAACCATGTGTGAGTCTAGGGCTTGATTACATTGGTATAAGTTACCCTCATTTTTGAAGTGTTTTTGGTTAGCGTGAAGCATTTCGAAAAACAATTTTGTTTGGTTTCTCTTTTCCACAAAGAGGCCCATGCGACAATACGTGTCATAAAGTCCATGAAAGAGAACATGTGTACCAGTTCATTTCATGATTTTTGGAACCAGTGTCACT